GTTCCGCGCCGCGATCGTCGATAATGTGTAACGATTCACGGACGCGATAAGAAAGACGCAATCGTCGATGGAAATTTCCCGATGCACCGGATTGCGTCGCTCGATTGGCTCGTCGACGCGCTTCAAGGCGCCTCCCAGCCACGAGATAAAGAGTCGATTACATAAAGTACTTCTTCTTCCTCTCGTTTTGCATACGATCGTGACTGTCCGTAAGGACGAAACACGCTACCAGTTCTAATTCCAGTGGGAGTTAACGTAAACGGTCGACTCTTTTGTAATGCATCGACCCTGTCTAGACAAATGTTTCTATTTCGATCGTAGCGTTTCGTATTCAAAGTCTGCGCTGCCCGATTGCTTTTGCTGAAAAATCCTCGACGCTATAAACCTACTTTCAATGGGATTATTTTGTATCGATGACTGGTGGTTGTTCAGGCAGAGGATCACGGAAGCAGAAGGCTTTTCGAGTAACTGTGCCTCGCGTTCGCGTTCGCGTTCGCGGTCCGGTCCGGTGCATCAGCCGCAAGGGGAGAGCAAGGATATTGGCGGCCTCGTGTCGAAACCGAGGCGCAGATAAGCTCGTTTTAGCGCGAGATAGTTAATCTTCCGTTTAATCGGCTTGTTTATCTCGACGTGGTACAACCGAGGGAACGTCGGTAATGGTTCGACCCAGAGAGCAGTCGGGCTTCTTCATATTCCAATTTACAATTTGTCGTTCGTCGGACGATATTTCAATCGACGTTCTTCTTGCTCGCGGAATATCTTTGCTCGATGCTTCGATAATTTCGATATCGTATTCGTAAAACGACCGAGCAAATAAATACCGAGTTACTTTGTTTTGTCGCGTGGACGCGAATGGAACCGAAGAAACGTGAATAATTGTAGCTTCGTCGAACGGTGAAAGTGATCTGAAATCATTCTTTTGGCTAAACGAGCAGAGCAGGGATGGATTTCGCGTATCTCTCGTCTTGGACGTCGTTACACGATCTATGGAAAGTGATCGTTGCGTTGTGACGCAAAACGCGACCACATAGATCGTTTAACGAAAAGGATGAATCGAGGAGTTGATTCCATGAAACAATTACAGGCAATAGGTGTATCGATATTCTTCTAAAATCTGTAAATTTGAAATAAGAGCGACCGTGCGAGATTTTCTATTCCGAGAGAAGCGGATTAGAGATCGGTGGGTGTGTTGCGCGGATCGGATCGGGTGTGCGATCATGCGTTAAAATGAGAGGAGACGCGCGCGACGAGACCCACAGAGATCAGAGAAACGTAGTACGATTCTCGACACCGCTGCACCGGTTCGATTCCCCTTCGTCTCTTGACGCGCGAACCATCAAGAAGAATATCAATTTGTTGACCGAGGTTTAGTTAAAAAAGTTATTAAATTATTAAATTAAAAAATTTCAAATACTTCTAGAAAAATTATTTTTAGTTGCAGGGGTCAAATAGAATCATTTTTGGTCGATAGACATACCTACCCCCGAAATCCTACGCACTTTCGAGAAAAAAATTCATTATCGAAAATATAATGTCTGACCATGAATGAATGATTCCCCTGAACGGATCGGAGGATTTTAATGTTTCGAAAGGCAAACGACGCGTATTGTGCTGATGAATATGTAGAAATTCTAAAAATATTGGAAAAGTTGTTCCTTGACCCCGTAAGGTGAACCCCATAAAAGTGGTCCAATTTTCAAACGGCCGTAACTCTTACAATAGCGAATGGCATTTATCGAAATTTAGTCTGGAGGTAGTGCTCGTGGATACCTACAAAACAGTATTAAACAACATTTCTGTACGTATATGAGCGTTTTCCGGAAATCTGGTCTCTTTATCCTTGGTACAAGAAAAATTACATTTACCTCGATTCGAAGAGTCGATTGATAAGCGCGAGTATTAAAAGCGAAATAACAATTGCGAACGTTAAGAGGAGCAGAGCGAGGCTAATTGCGATCAGGGAGGCGATTGTCTTATCTTAATCGCGGATGTTTCCCGAGATACGCCGATAAACGACGAACAATGGAATCTGATCGAACGATTTCGTTCGCGATCGCCACGGCATCGGCAGCGTATCGATCGGTCATGATCGATTTTTTCCACTTTCTAAACACGGATGCCCGGCCGGGTAGCCGGCCCGGGACCGCGTGGAATTTTGCGATTAGCTCGAGCGTTTTTGTCAACGTCGTGTTGGCAATAATGTTCGTTCGCGCGTAGAGTTATTGCCTCATCGCTGTCGGTCTCGTGGCTCGATCGCATAGCCTCTGATCGATCTTTTGTGCTGCGAGGCAATCATCGATCCTGTTTCTGCGAGTTACTTTTTGCGTTTCTTTCGAACTTTCGAAGAAAGTATTTCAGTAATTTTGTCTCTGAACGAAACGTATCTCCATGATAGTTTCATCGTTTACGCGCAGTCCGCGCAGGAGCTCTCTATACAGGAGTATAGCTCAGCGATCAGCCCCGCCGTAGCTATACTTCCGTATAGGTAAGAAAATGTAAATGAGCTTACGACGTTAAAATTACGATATCGTTTGTATATTTCTTTCCCCTTTCCAACGGTAACAATAATTTTACGGTACAAGTAACTTAGGAAAATTTTAGAAGCAACAATGGTGCTCCGGATAGGCTGGTATTATATTTTCGGTCGTTAAGGTATATTCCGCGTTCAGTGGCCAAGCAATTATATCTTATTGCACGATGCGTTGCCTCGATTTATTAAATGAAATTAATTTTACGAGCACTCGAGTCTCTGTTTAAGTTTGATTTTGAAAAAATTCAAAGACGCGACGGAAAGTATTAAGCAGCGTGATCTATCGTGCTCCGAGCGAGGTAAGCTTGAAAGGGAACGCACGCAACTCCAACCACGGGGACTGTGGCCACATTATTCGTAGTCGATAAAGCCGTGCTCTGCACGCTGGAAAAGTTAACGCTTTATCGCGAGAAAATGTTTAAATAACTTAAAACGCGTCCATACGTTTAACATTTCAAACGGTGTCCCGTTCGAAACAATGGTTTTCTTCGTTAGTTTTAGAAACGGTGTTTCGCTCGGTAACGAAACCTTTAAGTACGAGTTCAGATAGCGCCACTCGGCGGTAAGAGAATATTTAACGGATGTTAGTTAAAAATGTCTGGTAGCAAAAGTTTCACGAAACTTGTGCTACCTTTGCACGAAGAGACACTGCTACTTGCAGTTCAATTTCTAAATAAAGTAGATCGAAGAGATCGAAAGAAGGTGATCGATGCATTACGGTTGCCGATGTTTCAAGTGTAATATTTTAATAATAATTATAATGAAGTTACAGGATGGTTTTATACAGTATGTATAGATAGAGTCGTAATATAATCGTTTTTAATAATCTCGATCGACGTAATTATGCTTAATCAATCTGTAAGTTTATTATCGTCTATTAGTCAGAGCGAAGGAAGAGGAGGGGAGATATGTAGAGAAAACGTATCCGTAAAATGTTACGTGAAAAACAGGCAAAGTCGTATGTTTTTGTCGACGCAGTTACCACACGCTAGTTGTAATCGTCGTTGCGAAGGGTTTCAAATGAAAATAAATCCAGAAAGAAACATTTTCTCTTAGACGCGTGTACAAGGACTTACGAAGGTTTCTCGTCGATTCGCTTAACAATCACGACCACCTTGAATATCGAGAACGGGGTGGGAATGCACGCGATTACCGTTACACATCGAGAGAACAATTACGCGTCTCGATAAAGAATTTGTCAGCGACCCGGGTCGCGACCAATCGATAAAATTCCATCGTATATTATCTATATATTTATATATTAATAAAAACCACGAAGAACTTGTGTATCTTTTGTTTTTTGTTTTTTCCTTTTTACAAACATTATATATATATATATATATATATCACCTAATGGAAATTTGTACACAGATTCTCATACAACATGTTTCATTTAATTACAGGCTCGTTCCGTTAATCGCCATCCCCGTCGCTTCGGCTACGCATCGAGAAACGCCCGAGGAACACTCTACGTTACTCGCAAATGCGTTTCGAGTTAAAATTTTCCCGCATCCGAAAACGATTACGATCGATCCAGATTCCCGAGGAAAAGGTCGTCGAAACAATCGTTCTTTTCGATTCCTCGCGATAAATATCTTCGTATCTCACCATTACGCATCGTCCTACGCGAATACCGCTCTAAGGGAAATTGGATTTTTCGAAACTCGAACGCTTTTGCTCTGCCCTAATATGGAACCGTGTTCGCGCGACGCCAAGCGATTTCGTCGCGAGGAAATAATACTAGGTGGGGGATTTGGTTGCGCGATTTCGGCAACAACGAGAGAAGGAACCGTGGATGCTCTTCGCAAGATTATCAATTACGTGCACGTGTGGAAAGAAAACCAGACTGTAGGAACTACGTTATAGAACAGCCGTCTCGTACCGAACGTGCGTTACTGCGTGCGTACGAGAAAGGACAGTGGTGTACGTCGATCACCTCTCTACGATCTTGCGTAAAGGGTGGAAAACTAGAAGAAAGAAGAAAGAAAAATAGAGAAAACAGAGACACGGGACGCGAGAGTATGGTATCCGATCCGAGGACGCGTGTAAATCAACGCGAGAGTACGGTACGCGCCCGGAACAGAAACACTCCCGAAGCAACACCCTCTTCGCTAACAAAAAATAATCCCGAATTAAGAATCGGTGATTTCGATGTTACTTTTGCAAAGTACGAAATTTTAGCGTTTAAACTGTTTTCCCGCGCGTGACAGTTATCAAGACTTACCGAAACAAGTAGGCTTCCCGTTGCTCGCATTTGGGTCAGGTTTTCGGTCTTTGAAAAGAATTTATCGATACAAGGGGCGAACCATTATCGGTTGGAAATGTTCCTGTGTACGAGTAACCGCAAACACGATCGACGGAGTGGCCAGAGTTGTAAAATGACATCGAGACGATGTCACGCGTAGACAAGGTCCTACGTGTCGCTAAAAGAGTCTCGGCGTTGATAGGTGAACTATGGCCGACCTATGGGCTATGTAGAGATCTCGATGACCGGTTCCGCGGTATTGTTGTTGAGCAACTCCTGCTTCTCCCTTAGCTTTAGATCGTATTGCGGGGGTGGTGGCGGCGGCGGCGGTGGCGGCGGAGTGGAATCTTTGACCTCGAGGGGCGACAAACCGTCGGCGTCGTCCAACGGCGAAACACCTTCCTCGCTGTCCTCGTCTTCGTCGTACTCGGTCTCTATCTTGGATTCGTGCACCTCGTGCAGACGACTGGGAATGTAGGCCGGATGATGGGACGGCAGCCCGTAACCTGCTTCGCCACCGTAGGTCACTTTCCCCATAAACGATCTGATCTCGTCGAAATACGTATCCTCTCGCTCGTTTTCGTTGCTACTGCCCGGCGAATCGGCCACCGAGACGACGCCGCTACCGTCGTCGGCTTCGTGCTTCTTCAGATGTCTGTCCAAGTTGGTCTGCTGGCCGAAGCACCTCTCGCAAAGAGGACACTTGAACGGTCGTTGCTTGTCGTGAATGTTCCTGACGTGTCTCTGAAGGTTGCTGGAGATGCTGAAGGACCTCTCGCAGTACTTGCACTTGTACGGTTGCTCGCCGGTGTGCGTGCGCAGATGCCTGGTCAGATTAGCCGACCTGGGGAATACCTTACCGCAGAACTTGCACGAGTAACGGTCTTTCATTTTGCCGTGAGCGTGATGGTGATGATGGTGATGATGGTGAGGCGCGATGACAGCCTCTTGAAACGGCTTTACGCCGGAGAACGGAGCCAGTGGTGGTCTGGCGAGCAGATCGAATCCTCCTCCGCCTGGTCTAGCTCCGCTGAGCCCGTTCATAAGAGTCCCTAAAAAAGGAAGTCCGCGAGGCGGACCGAACGGTGGTAGCGGCGGTAATAACCTAGATTCGGCCGCGGCGGCGGCGGCGGCGGCGGCGGCGGCGGCGGCAGCGGATCCAGGGGGTGCATGGGGTGCATGCCCGGTCGGAAACCCTGGAAAGTTACCGGTGGGCCCACGGTACATCGCCTCCAGAAACATCGGATGAATCGGTCTGGGATAGGCCATGTGCGGCGGAGTATTGGTAGGCGGTTGCTCGGTGGCCAGGCTGGTTCTCAATCGTGGACTGCTGGCCACGTCCTTCGAGTCGACTTCCACCATCATGAGACTCTCTTCGTCGGGTTTCCGATGATCGGGGGCTGGCGGGGCTGGTGGGGCGGGCAGGGCCTCTTCCATCGGTATCGGCCCGGGCGACGGACTGCGACTCTTTCTCTCGACGAGGTTGCAGCTCGTTTTTTGCTTCTTGGTTCGAACTCGTAGATCCAGAGGCTGTTCCGTGGGCTCTTGGTTCGCGATTGGTTCCGCCGAGTTGCTTTTCTTCTCGTTGGTTCTGGCCTCCCTGGGTTTCTTCGTCGGATCGTCGTCGCTGTCGGGCGTAGGTTGAACGGGCGGTCTAGCCGGGGAGGGTCTGAACGAGGAAGTGGCTTCCTCGCCGGTGGATGGCGAGACCTTGCTGTGCTGCGGCAGCACCCTCGGCGGTGTGAAACGTTCCTTTTTCGGGCTCTCGCCTCTTTTCTCGGTTTCCTCGACCTTGGGCGGGAAGAGGAGAGGAGGGTTCAAGAAGTTTGAAGCGTTTGGGAAGATACCGGGATAGGGCGCCATCAGACTGGGCGGATAGAAGGGCAGGCCGCCCGGCAGGCTGACGGAAGGCCGAGAATAGACGAGAAAAGGGCTGGGTGCTGAGGTCGGCAACTGAGGCATGGCTCCGGGTGGACCGGTCGGAGGCGTCGAGTCGCAGAATCGCTTGTGCTTGGACAACGATGTCACCGTGCTGAACGTCTGTCCGCATTTACCGCACTTGATCTGCGTACGACAATCCGCGTGCATGCGTTTGTGCCTGCATAGATTCGAGAACTGGGTGTAAGACTTGAAGCACACCTCGCATTGAAACGGTTTCACGCTACTGTGGATGTGGGTGTGCTGCTTCAGACCGGAGCTGGTCGCGAAGGTTTTCCCGCACTCGGTACACGCGTGACTTCTCGCGCCCACGTGATGCGTCCTGATGTGACGCTGAAGGTTCGACGGGTCCGTAAAGACCTGTGGATTGTCCGACTGTTAGCGAAACTTTGAAAATGTTACTCCGGGGGGATACGTATCGGGTCTTTTTGCCTTCGAGACGAAGGCGATCACTTACCTTTGGACAGTTCTCGCACGGATAATTGCGAAGGTCACCGTGAACGATCGCTCGATGGCGAACGAGTAGCGGTCGCCAAGCGTAGGCACGGGGGCAGCTGTCGCACCGATGTTGTTCCGCTGGGTATCTGTGACAGGTTACCAGATGGCTGTCCAATCTGGAAAGAAAATACCACGATTATCGGTTAGGTTGATAACTTTACCGCAAGGATTCCGAGTCCGAACTAACTCGGATCAGCGACTCGGACTGGCATCGTCCTACGGCGGAGTTATGTATGCACGTTCTCTTTTCTTCCCAAGAGCTTATCGGAAACAACTCCTCGAGCTTGATCGCGGCAAGAACACCTCGGGCAACTACCTCTCGAGCAAGAGAGTTCGGATGTAATCGATCCCGGGACAGCGCAACACAGCAAAGACTGCGCTCGGTGCAGTCGAGGATGATGACTAAGTGACTCCGGTAGCGCGGCAGCGGACAACCTCTCGCGTAATAACGGTCACACGCCCCCAAGGAAGAGGGTGGTCATCGCGTATAGACGGAAAGGCGTGCGAGGCGAGGCGAGGCGAGGCGACGGCGCGCACGAACCTCGAGGGTGTCGCGAGGTGGTCGCGCGGGTTACGGTCACAGGATGTGCCACGGTGTGTGCCGGCATTGATTTTACACCCTCGAACACACGTGTCGCGTGAAACCTATTCGTGGTGAGATAGTAGGTTCACGGTGACGGTGCGCCGTGCCAGATGAGCTGCGGGCACGCGACGCCTTCGATGATGCATAAGGGGGTGGTTCGATGCAACCGAATGCGGATCTCGCGCGTACTTTATGCGCCACAACAGGTGACTCTGCCGCCGCCGACCCGTGCCACACGGAAGTCGCTGGTGTTGCGACTTGTCAGGGGACCGGGAAACGGCAAACGGAACGAAACCGAATGGATGCCCGAATTTCGACCGAACGCGACAACACCTCGCCTGATCGCGCGACCGATCAAATAAATATTTTAAACCGATAGTTTCGTCTTCGTTAGGAGAGCTATTTTATTTGCCCGCGGCAGCCGATCGAAGCAACGCGTGTCTCGATCTATCCACGCATTGGTCGACGTTGAATCGTGGGAAGAAATCGGAAATCAAACAATGCGAGTCTCGCAGCATCGGTCGAGTATTTCGCTTTTCGTTTCGTGGCGCAACGCATACAGCACCGACCCCTGAAAAACCCAGAGAGATCGGACCGCCAGAGTGAACCCTCGAAACAGTTCGCGTGCTCGAGGCCCCACTTTTCCTACCGAGTACAACTAACGCTGAGATTTTCAATTATTCGCTCAACGAAATCAAACAGCAACGTAGCAATTAGTGGGCCGTTCGATGGTTCTATCCCTCGTTAAACGTTGCTGAAAAAGTACTTTGTTCTTCGGAGTTTATCGACGGGTATCGAAGGGTTTTTGGGAATCGGTGCAGCGTAGACTGGCTCTCTGTGTTAAATCGAACGTTTATGTACTTACAGTTCGATGTCTTGAAAAGGCTTATCGCAGACGGTGCATCTGGTCTCACCCTCTTCGTCGTCCTCTTTGTCCTCGTCGATGGTCCCACTGTGTTGCGAAGCTGCAACCAGACGAAAGAAAAAACGCGTCAAGCAGCAACACCGAGACCGCGCGACGACCAAGAAACAGGCTGGAAGTCGTAATTCCGTTCCAGTTCGTGGACAGGCTGCGGCTCTATAAATTCTACCCCCGAGAACGATGATACGTGGCCTGTCGCGGTGTGGCCGAATTACGTGATCGAGAACTACGCGGGGGCCAGCGGAGAGTGGCGTGACAAGTGGACGCCGGTATTGTTTCTGAATTATTAAATCAAACCAGCACTATCGCTTTATCCGAACACGGTATGTCTACGAGCTGTCCCACCAACTCGTACTTCCTTTCCGATTATTTATTCTTTTTAAAAACGTTCAAACACTGTTTCGATACTCTTTCTCGCACTGAAAACAGGAGAAATTCTTGTCGATCGATTGAATACCGCCGCGGTTCACGATCATTAAAACTCGAGTTGGATCGGAAATTGGAAATTTCGTATCTGGAATACTTAATAAAATAGCGAGACTGCCGCGGTGAAGACCGTCACCGGCGAAATACCTTTCGTCTCTTTCGCTAATCGGCCACGATGCTTGCAACAGTCAACGAAGACAATGAACGCAATGATGCACCGGTAAGCCGGTCGTACGTTGTCCCGCGAGCGAAAACGCGAATGGGGTGTCCGGAACCGCTTCCTATTGGTACGACCGAGCTCGCTGGCCAACCAATCGCAGGTGAGACTCCGTTGCCCCATGCGGTCTCGTTTCACCCCCAACTGACAGAAGCAACGGCAGGTTAAATCAAGAGTTCGTGAACCAGACAACGAGTCACTTTTTACTTTGGAGAATCTCTATCGACTCGAGGGTAAGGTAGAGTACGGGTACTTTCAACTTTTACGGAGAATATAATTGGCAAAAGAAAACGAATATTTTCGCTACGAGAAACAATCGTTTTTCAAGCATTTAAATTTCGGAAGAAAACATTGCAAACGTATCTTCTTTTCGAGTTTAATATTTAAACCGCAAACTCACGATTATACGTACATACGTATGTATGTATAAGGGGCAACGAGAATGGACGGATCAGTCTCGAAGACGTTAAAACCGTTTTAAAACGATAATGGGAAAAATATTAACCGATGGATGTACCGTCGATCGAATATTAGGCAGGCCGATAACAAAGTCGAAACGACACCCGTCTTCCAACGGTTATTTAAATCTGCCGCTACACTTGTTCCAACCATATGGTCGAACGATAGCCCCCAACGGACCTTCATGGGAACCGGGTACAACCCCTACGCCACCAACTACGCCCCACATCACGAACTAACCCCCCATAGAACGTTAATCGTTTCTCCATCCACGACTAATTTGAAGCAGCACGCCGTGAATTTAAACAATGAAAAATGCGGTTGACCTCGCTCTCTCGTAAACGGGCATCGTTGTCGGCGTTTAGAGAAGAACACTTTAAAGAAAACAACTTGGAAAACTAGACAAAAGGTGAATGAACGATTGGACGACAGGAAGAAGAACATTAGGGGGAAATTTAAACGGACAAACGAGTTTCCTATCAATTCTTTAGTCTTTGGTAGCTGTTAATTACGCGTACGTAAATATTTCGAGTCTAGAGAGGAATCGGTGTACAGGTTTGAAAAGGGAAATGTTCGCGATGATAAGTTTATTTCTATTACAGAATACATAGCAGCGTAACATTCGGTCGTATACCATTTCGATGCTATTTGCGCTACATACGTATATGTATTCTAGTACATACATATATGCGTTGACTGACGAAAAGCTGGCCCTGACGAAATATTACGTCGTGGAAAGTCAACAGGTGGGATTCACTTGGCAACACCTGTAGCCGCGTCAGTTGGCGGTTGCATGGGAAAAAGTAACGGAAATCAATGTTCCCGTGACATCGTGACGGACCAGGATCAAGTAGATACGCCAAAGAATTCGAGCGAATCGAGGGAACCTCGAAGCGGAACCGGCACCCCTGCCTCGAAATACCACGATAGCGTTGCATTTGTATCGTTACGGAACACTCGAACGAAAGAAAATATCATTCTGCTAATACGAATTTAACATTTTCTCTAAAGGTACTATGCAAATAATTTATTATAGTTGCAAGACGATCACTGATTTCACGCCTACAAAGAACGAAACGAAACGAATGTATCGTTGGGATCCCAAAGTATCCTTACGATAAAAAATAACGATTATCGGTTCGACGCGGTCCTAACTTGTTCACGTTCCAAAGAAGGTTTCTCAGCGCGTCGAAACACGACCGAGTGAAACGTTAAACAGAACAGAACGTGTTATTGGTTGGACGAATCGAATAGGGTTGCGGCGTGTCGTGCTTTTTCGTCCGGCCCTCCCCGCACGCGCCTGCCACCCCCTCGGAAAACAGCGTCGCGTGCCCTTTTATGCGCGGATACCCCTTTTTTTCAGGCAGTGCCTTTTCTTTTTTTCTCTAGACCGTCCCTGAGGCCAGGTTACGCGCGCGTTAATCGACAATACCGGGTCATAAATTATTTCCGACCCTAAATAGAGCCATCCAGGAGCGTCTCGTAGTGGGATGCGACTCGTAGAGGGAACGAAAAGTGTAGCGGGAAAAGGGGTCAGAGGGGCAGAGATCAGAGAAAAAACAGGCGCCGCGAAAAATCAAAACCATAACTCACGCTAACTGCCATTTCGCCAGTTGCATCTACGCCCCAATACGCGTTTCACGCACCGTGGTTTACCGAATCGTCGAAAAAGTTCGCCTGACCAGGAATCATAAACCCTCGTGTCGCTTGTCATTCGGCGGGAGAGCATTATTTTTCAAAAATCTGCACGGAGGAAATATTTTTCTTCCCCGTTCAGCATGAAAAAAATCTCTATTTTGTTTTACCGATCTATTAAACGATACGATCGAAACCGTAGAAACGTTTCGGCGGAGATTTTCTCGCTGTTTTAATGCGTTCGTGTGCATACACACGCCCCCTGCGTAGGCACGTTAAAGCTATTCCTCCCTGCGTCTGTTTCGACCCTTCTCCCTCGAAAATAAAAAAATGATCCGTTCACGAGAAACAGGGTAGAGATGTCCATCCCTCGCAACGGTTGATACATGGTGTACCGTTTGTTTGACATCATTATTCTCGCTGCACGCACCAGCTTGCCAGAGATTTCTCGTAAAAATGGCTGTGCCGGTGATGCCGTTCCACCATTTTTCTGTACATTATAGACGGCACACGTTTTCCATTTCTAACGCTCTGTAAGGTTAGGATGGAATTATCATGTCGTTCGGTAAAAAAAATATCTAATAATCGGAACGTAATGCTATCTAGAAGGGAAAAATTTAATCGACGATCCTAGATTTCCCGCTCGAACTTCCGTAATTACGAATAAACATTTGCCGAAACCGTTGGCGCGTATGCTTCCGGGACAGCTTGTCCGTAGTGGAATCTGGATCGGGGTTGGCAAACTAGAAATTTGGCTCCCCTCGTTGTAGAAAATTTATAACAAACGAAATCTTTGAAATTTTAATTGGTCCTGGGGTGGGTGCCGATTTAATTAAGAACGAAGTGGAGCGCTGGTAGCGCTACGCTGTTTGCTGTCTCCTATCCATTTACGAGCCGGTGAAATTACGAGGAAAAATCGTCCAACGAACGAACCGTAGACATCGGGCCGCTCGAACTTGGACAATAATCTCGGTTAATTACCGCGACATCTGGCTGTCGTTTATAAACCCCCTCTAATCTACGTCTCGCAGTCATCCGGATATTCTGACTGTCGCGCGGGAGTTACAACCAAATAATTATCAAACGGTCGAATGCTTAACCCCTACCCGTCGCGTCCGTTGCGAATCTCTCCAATATAGTATGTACATGGTTCATGGTTCATGGTTCATGGACGATGGAGCTCCAGCAAATTTTAGTCGCGAAAAAAAAATCCACTCTATTATTATTTACGGGGATATTTAAAATCTTGTTGTTTGAAAAATCGTGCAATTCGTGCCTGTATCGAACCGAACCGAACCCAAACCTTTTATTTATTTCAGAGTATCGAAACTGTTCTCGACATATGATATTACGGAACACCCTGTGGCTCGCGAGAGTCGCTTTGCAACGAAATTTTAAGTGGCACGGGGTAAGGTGACGCGCAGGTCGAGTGCGTCTATCTCGAGATAATCGGCTCTTATTACCGAACAGAACAGGGGTTAATACGTTACGAGCGGCCAGGTGAATCACGCTAAAATCACGGGTGCATGACGAGCAGCTCGTGCAGTCGACGATTACCCTCTGTCCTCCCTCGCATCAGCGGTAACTCAACTTTTAAAAGACACCTGCCCACCGCACCGCCAGGTTTCGACTCGTACGCGTTAGCGATCTCGCGCGAACGCACGCGCACGAGTCAACGCGATGGGTATCGGCACGAAAAGTCGTAAAGCCTGTTTGCCGTCGCACCCCGGACAATCGAGAATATTTTCGAGGGTTCGATTATCTGTTGGTTCGTTTCCGCTGGAACGTCGGTAATCTCGATCGATCTACGACATTTTTATATGTTTCTACAACCGCCCTAATAACTATTATTTATTTCCGAATTTCGATCACTGTTATGTATGGAAAGGTCGAAAGAGCGCGTTGATAACTGTACGAGACGAGTGTTACTCACCGGTCTCCCTGTCGCTTCGGTCCTCGGTCGTATTTTCACCGAGCATATCCTGGAGCTGAAGAGGTTCTCGAACTCCAAGAAGAAGCTCTTCACCCGCCACTATGTCTCGTACGGCCTCGTACACCATCTGCGAACAATGACACACTTGAATCTTCCGACCCTCTCGGCACCATTCGTCGCAAATTATCTGAAGCTAGTTCGAGTATCGCTCGAAACGAATACGAATGATGCTGCACCGATAACCATGAACATTGCCACGGAATTAGTACTAGGCAGTACATAAAAACGATCGATCGAAATTGCAACGATTTCGCGCACGTTGCGACCATCAAACTCTCGCCTCCGCGGGACACACGTTTTTTTTAGACGCTCGTAATCCATCCATCCAGAGTCCATAAAATTCGAAAACAATGATAGGAGGAATCTTGGTATCGTCGTCGGGAGGTCTCTGAAAAGTTCCCATTAGAACGGTGATTCGGGGGGTTCTAACAGAGAGAGAACCGCATCCCCCATTCCCACAGCGATTGCGAACGGGGCGTATAGCAAGTCGACGAAACGACCCCGTGGGGTGACTTAATAACTAAACACCCTGTATACGCGTAGCTTAGGGCGCGCCCACATCGCCACGAATACCATGTGCCACCGTTCGCATAGATAGAAAGCCGACAGGACGCGAGCCCGGGATCAACCCCAAATTGACACCGTGACCTCCATTGCTTCCGTTCGGACGGTATCCGGACAACCAACGACGGTATTCAAATTTTGACAAATTTTACGAAAGTTACGAAAGTTACTCGATGTTGGAATTTCGTTACATTTAAACGAACACGTTAGAAAGTCGTCCCGTTTGACGGTTACGATCGTAAACGTTCGATGAAAATTATGGGAATGGTAGTAGGTACGAAGTTATTGTTAATCAAGGTTTGCGTTTCCATCGTTGCCTCGTTAACGAGTCACGGAAACAGTGGCGGACCGTGCGACCAACTTTTTTTATTAGTTTCACCTAGCACGCGTGAAATTAATCGCGACTGGGTCTGACACCGTGTAATTATTTCTTCCTATTAGCTCCAACTGTCGATCGAGTGTCGGTTGCGTTAGAAATCGAATTTCCTAAATGGTCGACGGCGTATGTTACGACGCGTTGGTACCGACTTGTAATACAATTAGCATAGCACGCGTAACTCCGTGGCAAAGGGAACGTACATACATACATCGAACGTGACCGGAAGTTACGATCGATGGCATTTCACGTTCTCTTATCATTTTTAACGATAAATACGGAAATTCAGTTAACGGACATTACGTCTAACGGACGCATCGCTATTTCGAACACCGATGCATATTGGCGTTAAGATTGTCGTTAATTACCTGGCCACCGATGAGCACGTGACGCATATTAACAGCGTGCGGACTGTTGGTGCTTCGGACATATTTCAGCCAATTATTCGTTTCGTGGGATGCGTCCAACCAACCCCTAACTCCGCTACCACCGGTATGAACCTGGAAAAAAACCAACCAACATTCAACGACCAACTATATACATTTTCAGGTACAATTTTTCAGCTTCGTCGTCGTACGCTGTATACTTGGCGTTATTATCGACGCGACTGGAAGGAAGTTCGAGGACAGTTAGGAGTCGATGGATGTGGGGTGCCCGCGTAGAAAATAGTTGAAACGAATGCGAATTTCCGGAGGTAAGCCACAATGTTTCGGATCCGGGACATTGCGTTTAACGGACTAACGCCTACGAATAAATCGCCCTCTCGTCACCCTTGCTCTACCGCATCGTGGCTACTGTTACTTCCTGCTCCAGCATCCAATAGGGTGTACACTTGGCTCTCCCTACTTTTAGGGCGAGACAAGTGATTTTTTCAATTGTCTCGCGCGAGCTCGCGCTATGCTCCGAGACGCTTGGTCGGTCAACCGTTTCACCCTGATACGCCCCTGGACAGCCTGTTTCTCGATGCTCCTCCCGACTAATTTTTCCCCGCCACTCTACGCACATTTTACGCTTCTACCGAGGACCTATAACTCTACGATATAACTTTACATTTTCTAAAAGCTTTTTGCGTTTTGTGGGAAGCAAATTTGTCGAGATTCGTGTTTGCAAATCTTTCGAACGCTTATCAAGAACGTGTCTAAGGACGAGTTCCGATCACAGGCTTCCGACCGATGGTAGGTTTTATTCTACCACCTGCCGGTGGCGAGTGTAACTAGGTGCGGTCATAAAAATCAATGAATTCTGCAGGTGGATAAGCGTCTACCTTGCAGGTAAGTGTAATCAGGGTTACCAAGCCCCGGGAGACGGAACGCTGTTTCCCAACAGAGAACCTCGCTCATCCGTGTATCCCGGATAATCCACGGTTCGAGTAAACCATCAAAACATCGGATCATCAGCGAGCATGTTCTTCGCGTAAAACAACGCGATCGAGCAGTTTGCGAAAAATATCGTCGAGATCTTAGTATCGACGATAAGATGTCTCGACCGAGAAGTTGTTCGTAACTTTTGGGACTTTGATGATTTCTCGCGTGGTCGTTTCGTTGGTTGATCGGCGCGTGGGTTGTTCAGGTAGTGCAGGAAGCTGGTGATGCCCCATTATGTCGGACCGAAAAGTGGGACAGTTTGGCGAAAAGGTAGACGAAACGAGACGGTGGGATTTCTTCGGCGCTTATAATGGCTAGTTTAGCTGTGCTGGGCCTACTAAGGACCGTTTCCGGAGAATGGGCACGAACGAACCATCGCGATGGGACTTTTCTCCTCTTCTAACGCGACAGATTAAGATATTGCCGCAGATACTTGGCGGATTTGTTACGGTGAGCAGCGTTTTTGCTAAATATAAAGGGAACCTGTTAAAATTCACGCCTCGATAATCGTTAGCGTTTCGACTCTCGATCGGTTCGAACGTTCGATGCGCGCAGAAGCATCCTGCTTCGTTCGATTTTCAATGCCTTTCGAAGAGACTCGTCGTCGTTTGGTGTGAAACCTCTCAGCGGGAACTCCTATCCGCTTTGTCGGCTCGCTCGGACATGTGCTAACAATTCGTAGGACAGATTTGGCTAGCCGTGGATCTTGTTCGTTCGTATAATCGTGGCCACGGAACCTTCCTGCTGCAAACGAGGGGCTACGAGCTCCGAGACTTCTAACGTCCAAAACTCTTGGACGATTAGACGAAAATGCTCTACGTTTCGTTCCAAGTAATAATTTCCATTCCCGTCGTTCGTTCTCGTCGAATGGAAGAGAATTAATTACGAGTCGCGTATTATTTCGGCACAATAACGACGGACACACGGTGGGAAAAATGGTTCAAAGGGAACAGAGAATGGGAACAAACGCGAGCCAAGCGGAAGGCAGACAAGGAGGAAGAGAGAAACGGAAAGGGAGAGAGCGCGAGAAAACGTCGGTGTCGACGGGCGACACGCGAATAAATTATAATTGCATGATTCCTTGAGCCTCTTTAGCGCCGCGGCGCAACGAAATTGCTAAAATTGGCAGAAATTGCACGACCATTTTAATTACATTCCCAGTTTACACACTGACTTTTCTCTATGAATTTTCATCCATCTCCGTGCGTTTCGGAAAATCAGCTGACACTTAGCCCGCGGGTACAAGTTGGCGATAATAATTGAACGACGTGTTTCTGGTTTTAACGATGGATGGAAAAATGGAGAAGATATAACGTTAAGTAAGAAATTACGAAAGTTTTTCTATCCAATCACTTCCGGTGCGAGTTCTATTTTTAATTATACTCGTAACTTTATTCTACGAGTCTATTCCGACGATCGTTTCACCATTATTTCATTTCTTTCTTTCTTTCTTTCTTTCTTTCTCCTCTTACCTTTTCGTTCGTTATACTTTACGAATACGCGTGTTTCGCAGCAGCGTTTCAACAGACTAATTTAACAAGACCTTTTCACGAAGAGAATCCTGCGAATCCGGAATACCTCAATTTGTCCGTTCGTGAGAGGAAGACGATCCTAAGTTCGAAAAAGGGACGAAGGATCGAACGAGCGAACAGCCGACAAGACGCATCCCGGTCGTCGGTTAATCTGCAGGACACGCGGTCAGGAGGAATCTTTCTCGTTCACCCGGCATGGGGCCTCCAGGACACAACCGTGTCGTACAAAACACGCGATCTCTTCTCTTTTCCCTTTGTAACCTCACACCTCCAACAAAAACGAGCCGACGAAATATCCTTCTGCGTCGGCTGGTTGGGTTTTACCAGAAATACCCCACGAGAAAGAAGGCTGCCAGACAACACGGCAGATTCTAGCGAGTCCTTCTGAATGGACCCCCGTAATCGGCAAGGTTCCGCATCCTTTTCGACATTTCGAGAGATCAATGACGGAGAGAAACGGTCGATCGTGATCGTTTGCCGTCGAAGAAGACGTTTCTGTCTAGCAGCGATGCGACGGACCCGTCACGTGGAACGTGCCCATTCGAAAATCAAGATATCGTGGATAGAAACTACCTGGGGATCTTTGCGTCGATCTCGGACGATCTTCTTTGAAGACGTCCTCGACTCGTATACAATAATAAACAGATCGAGCGAAACGTTTAGAAATATCAACGTTGCGAGCCCACCTTTTCAGCTTTCGTACATTTCAGCTGATATAAACTATATTTTTAAGTATTTGCGTTCGAAGACAATTTTAATTATCCGTCCACAACGCGTTAATCTACATTGCACGAGAAACAAAGTCGACTGAAATATTTACTTTTACTAGCAAATAAAATATACCCTCCATGTTCGAAAACTATTTCATTTTTAGAAACAATTAATTTAAAATGGTTTATAAAAAAACAGAGAATAGTTAAATGGCTGTGTATTGAAAAATAAATGAGCGGCATTCATTATTCCTGGAAAACTTAAGGCCAAACGATAAACAGAGAGGGAGAGAGAGAGAGAAACTTGCCCCACGAGGGACAAAAGTTATGAATAAAACGGATCGATAGCGTATGATAGGCTCGTGATGGCCGACGCAAAAATGCTTTTAGCCAATACAGCGTGTCCTCCCCCGCTAGGAAAAATCGACCGTGCGATTTTCCCGACTCGTCAACTTCGAGACATCGTAGCCAGTGTGTTTTAACTAAAACCTCTTTAATAATTGGTTGCGGCCGCACTCGATAAAATCTCGACAAGATTAAGATATTAAAAGTTTTGCTCCAACGATCAGAGATCGATGAATCTTCACGTGTTAATCGTTGCGATTACGAGCATAGGGCAACAACAATATGGACGTAATCGCCGTTCGCGTAACGATAGCGCATCGAAATCGATTTTGGCCCACCGTCCCCCGGTTTGGGTTTGGTCGTTGATGCTAGAGAAAGAGGAGACTGCTCGTAAACATATCGCGCGGCCGGGCGCAGCGGCGAATTTCCCAGAGTTTCGAGAAATTCGCTGGGGCACGGCGTGACGGGGGGAGAACGAAACGGTCAATTATCATCCCCTAAATAACTGGGCTGTTTACGATTCCGAGCGTCGTACAGCGCCAGCGCAATCCCCCGTTCAAACGCGGCATTAGCCATGGCGACATCTTTGCTTAATTTCCTCTTAGTTTAAAGTACGAGCGAGATGGAGAACCATAGACGATTTTCGTCGACTACCGAGGTCTCCTGACAGCCTCCGCTTAGTCCTTAATTAATTTCGAAGACGAGACACAATGTTCGCAGGCAGCTTTAGTCGCGTCCATCCAACAGCAGCAACGAGTTCCTGATAAATCGCTCTTTTTACAATCGATCGTGCAACCGGTAAACGACGAGGCGGACTACGAATCGTAAATCAAAGCGCGCGTTACGCAATCTGCGGTAGAATATGTACATATGTACATCGGTGTTCGACTGCGCGACCGAGTCCAATCTTAACGAATACGATCGAGTGTTTTCATGCTATTCGCGTCATTTTGAACGTCGAGTGAGTTTTGCAAAGGTAGGACAAAGTTAACGGCGTGAATTCGAATCGGTCGGCTCTCCGGATTCATGCTTCTCCTCGATTAGATACATACTTTCCTGTACTTGACCCACTTGACTCGTGCCAGAAAAGTAATGCGAGTAATGACGAAGCAAACGGTGCCCTTCGACCCGTGTCTAACGCGAAACAGATGCCACCCCCGGCGCGTGCTCATGGACCCACCTCGGACCTCTTTCCCCCTCCCAACCTTCCAGCGTTTCTAAGGGAAGCTACCCTCGACGTATCTAGCGGTATAAATTATATCCGAGTCGCGTCACTGCCAGCCCCTTATATGATCGATCGTTAGACAGGATGCTGGCTGGCTGGCTTGACAGAAAATTTGCCAAAATTCGGTTTATTAGAGTGTACGCGCAAGAAGGATTAGCAAGGAAATCGAGGAACCGGCGCCGGGCCGCTTGAACGGTACTCGAGAGACCAACTCGACCGACTCTCTGTCAGAATCTTGAAACGAATAATGCACTAGGAAGGAAGGAACGTCGGCGTTGTTGATTAACCTGAACGTTTCTCGACGCAAGTGCATCCCGAACCACG